ATTATAAGGAATGGCTCTCTGGGAAAGTAGAAAGTAAGGGACATGAGGCAAAAATCAAAGTGATGGGGCAGCTAGGTGGCAAAGTGGATAGAGCACAGGCCCTGAAGTCAGGAGGACCTGAGTTCAAATGTGGCCTCAGACAAAACACTTGACACTTACTAGCTGTGTGACCCTGGGCAAGTCACTTAACCCCAACTGCCTAAGCAAAAAAAAAAAAAATCAAAGTGATATAAAAGAACAGATGTAAAAAAAAAAGCTATTCTAAATGTAATAGTAAGAGCACATATCTCAAAGGGTTGTGGTGAGGATCAAATGAGATAATATTTGTATAGATCTTAACACCATGAGCCTAGCGCATAGTAGGCACTAAATAAATGCTTATTCCCTTTTAGGCAACTCTCTAAGAACACACATTGCTGGGAAGGAAGCACCTGCATTGGTGTAGGGGGTTTCCTCCCTTGGTTGTTTCCTAAAACAATGAAATCACAAGGCCAGTCTAGGGACTATCTTTATTCTATTCCCTATTCTCTATCCTTATTATTACTTGCTGGAGTTTAGATAGAAAGGGTTTGGGATGAGTCACTCTCCTGCTCTTATTCTGTGGTGTTTAATGTTCTGTAGATTATTACACATGTGAGTAAAATAACTGCTTTTTGTAATTGAATCAACGTATTGGGGTATGAGTTCATCTGTACATTCCCTGAAAGTATCTTTATTAATTATTATTACTTATATTAAATTTCTATTAGAACATGAAGAAAGGATATATATAGTGTATAAAGAGAAAGAACTGTCAAAGAAGAAATTGTGGACTCCTCGTAACAGTATTAATGAAGACATTGTCCAAAGTTCCTCATTTCCCCACTTCGCACTGCTTGCTGAATCTGCCACCTTGGTGTCCGCCCTCGCTGATGACCCCTGGGACCCAGCATGAGCTCAGCACTGGCTTCTCCACCAAGAGGGGCCCAACACAAGTCGGAGACACAAAGAACTCCCTTCTCCTCCTCTCTCTCCTCCCCCTCATTAAGCCAATTCGAGAAAACAAGGCGTTTCAGGGCTTTGTGCGGAGAAGACCCTAAAGAAAATCTGCAGGTGCCACACTTGAGACAATGAGCTTCACATTTCCAGTGCCATCCCATCCGGGTCACAACAATGTCCCACACAGTGGCTGGGTCATTGGGCAATCTGAGCTTTGGTGACCACGGGGGAGGTGAGCAAGGCTGGCAGCTCAAGAGAAGACTAGTCTGCTCCTAATCTCTTCAGATGAACATTTCTCTGCCAAGCCCTGAGATAAAAATCAGGCCAGTATTAGTAGGAGATGTGCAGCCTCAAGGGGCCCAACCAGACCCATGGAATCCAGGGCCACAGTTTCACCCTAGGCCCTGGACCTGGGGACCTCTCAAAGAAGAGCATCCACAGCCTTCACCCAACCCCACCTTATTCTTGTTCAGTCTCTGGCTAGGTCTACAAATAAAAACCAGTCTGAGGGAGAAAAAAATGAGAGAAATAAATTGTTTACTGTAGCCAGTCAGTTATTTTAAAATAACTGGTTATCTTAACAGCTGGTACTTGTTCATCTGAGCTCAGTTGGTTTGGTTCTGAGTAGTGGGAAGTACACTGGATTTGATGTCAAAGGACCTGAGTTCAAGTGGCCCTTATTAGCCATGAGATCTTAGGCAAGTCATGGGATCATAGCTCCATGAGGTCCTCCAGGAAAGGGCCTCAATGGCCATCTAATCCAAATCCCTCATTTTACATTTCCCTCATCTGCAAAATGGGCATACCAAGACCTTTACTATCTACCCATTGCAGCAGGGCTATTTTAAGGACTTGTATGATGCTTAGCACGTAACAAACATTTCATAAGTGCTTATTGACTGACTGATGTGACAGTGTCTTGGTAAACCTTAAAGCACTAAAGAAATGTCAGCTATCATTATTAAAGCTAGAAGGGGCTAGAAGGTGCAGTGAATGGAGTACAGGCTAGAGTCAGGAAGACCCAAATTCAAATCTGGCCTCACATGCTTACTACCTGTGCAACCCTGGGCACATCACTTAACTTGTTTCCCCCAGTTTCCTCATCTGTAAAACGGGCATTTAAAATAGCATCTGCCTCACAAGTTATTAAGAGGATGAAATGATATAATGCTTGTAAAGTGTTTAGCACAGTGCCTAACACATAGTAGATGCTATATAAATATGAGTTATTATGGAAGGAACATTAGACATCATCAACTCCCCACCCTCTCCCATTTTACAGATGAGAAAACTGAGGCTCAAAAAATTGGTCAATTTGATTTGATTCTATTCAATTCAAACATTTACTAAGCACCAAGGTCATTCATCCGGTTTTATACAGTGACAGAGTGATGACTTCAACCCAGGTTTCCTGACTTCCAATCTAGGGCTCTCTCCACTGTACCAAGCCATTTTGTGAGCATGTGTAGATATAATCTTTAGGTCCCGATCAGTTTTTCTTCAGTTTCTTCTCTTTCATGTAGATCCAGAGACCAGGACCTCTTGCAGATGTTGGCCGGGAGATTGGTCTAGACCCATGATTTGATTGCTATAGAGAACTCCAGGTAAGGAGAGTCCCTTTTCCAATGGGCAACTGTTCTACAGCTTCTAGTCCTAGAGGAAGAGCTGGCTGCCTGAGCACTGAGCAGTGAAGTTACTTGTCCAGGGTCACAAAGTATGGGTCGAGGCAAGACTGGAACTCACAGCTTCCCAACTCCAGAACTGCTTGCTTCTCATCCATCATTCCATGCTGCTTTATAAGGAATAACTTCATGCAGGTTCATTAGAAGCATCTCCAGGGGTGGGGAACCTGCTGCATGAACCTCTAAGGTCACTTGTGTGAGGCTGCTTTCTCTGCAGCCAAAGGGGTGGTCCCTTCCAACTGCATTGTCTACATCTGTCAGCCTTCCTGAGCCTTCATGAGTGGTTCAGGAGCATGGGTAGGAAATAGCAAAGTCACAGCAGTAAATACTGGGTTGGGGGAGGGGAAAAGGCAAGTGGTATTTCAACTTGGATTATTACCAACATGATTTCCTTATTATCGCTCAAGTTGACCGAACAGCTGGGAGAACAAAGCAGATACAGAGACCTGCCTATCAAACATTCCTTACAGACATCCCCAAGAGTTTAGAGGGGATGGTCACGCGACCATTGTTTTTTGTGTATTACATGCAAATAAAAAGTCTTTGTGCCTAAAGACCCAATGCAGATCAACTGCCCCTGGCCCCTAAAGGTCTTCTTCATAGCATTCTGAATCTCTAGATTTCTTTTTTACTCTCGTAAAAATAATAGCTAGAATTTACAGAGTGCTTTAAGGTTTGCAAAGCAATTTACAAATATTATGTCATTTGATCCTCACAACGATCCTGAGAGGTAGGTGCTATTATCATCCCCATTTTGTGGATAGGGAAACTGAGATTGAAAGAGAAGCCTCCCCACAAAGATTCACGCTGCGGCCAATCAGCACAACTGGTGTTTCCAGGTTAGGGGGAATAGAATTCTCATTCTACGCAGTCATAATTATCAAAACTCACATAACTAATAAAATAATGTCTGACATTTATATAGCATTTTAAGGCATGCAAAGCTCATTACATACATTATCTCATTTGAGTATCACACTAACCCTGCCAGGGAGATGTTTTTATCCCTATTTTGTTGTTGTTCAGGTGTTTGTTGTTTTTTTTAAGTTGTACCCAACTCTCCATGACCCAATTTGGGGTTTTCTTGGCAGAGATACTGGAATGGCTTACCATTTCCTTCTCCAGCTCATTTTACAGATGAGGAAACTGAGGCAAACAGAGTTAAGTGACTTGCTTAGGGTCACACAGCTAGTAAGTGTCTGAGGTCAGATTTGAACTTGGGAAGATGAGTCTTCCTGACTCCAGGCCTGGTGCTCTAAACACCATGGCACCACTTAGTTTCCCCTATTTTACAAAGAAGGAAACTGAAACTCAAGTTTTATGACTTATCTAGGAACACTCAGCTAGTGTCAAAGGCAGAATTCTAAACCAGGTGTCAATTGACTCTAAGACCAGAAGTCTTTCCACTACTAAGATGGAAATGGGACTGAAGAAGGAAATACAGACAAATGGAATTCTTGGGATGGGGGGGGGGGGGTGGAACCAGGCAGAAGACCTAGTGATATATGCACCTATTTCAGCCCCTGCCTATGGGCAAGGTAAGACAATTGTTAATAGCACTCTATCACACCCAGTCACAGACAAGTCTTTCTGTCTCTTCCCTCCTCTTTCTGTATTCTATCCCTTCCTTTTACTCTATCTTCTTCTCTGGCTCTTCCTTCTCCCTGTGTGATCATATATTTTGTTGTTGTTGAGTCATTTTTCAGTCGTGTCAGACACTTAATGACCCCCCTTGGGGTTTTCTTGGCAAAGATACTAGAGTGATTTGCCATTTCCTTCTCTGGCTCATTTTACAGATGAGGAAACTTTGGGTCTTTACTCTTTCTTCTCCTTTTCCCCACCTCCTACTTGTCTGTATCACACACCAGTGGTGCCCTGTGGCATCCATAGATGTTTCTTAATCCTGCTGGTAGCACTGATAAATTACTGTCTAAGTCACCAGCTGCACATAGCAACCCCCTCTCTTCCTAAAGGTCTCCAGGGATGGAGAAAATCCGGTAATTCTGCAAATTCTCCATCCCTCTGACAGAGTGCTGCAACTCAAGAGGGATGGAAAGGCCCCTATGCAGTGAGCATAGGATCAGCCACGTCGGGCCTCGGGGACCATCTTGTTCATCCCTCTAATTTTATGGATGAGGAAAATGAAACCCAGGGTTGTTAAAGTGACTTATCCAAAGCTATACCAGTAGTTAAGTATCAGAGGTCATATTTGAACCCAAATCTTCTGATTGTAGAGCCAGCATATTTTTTCCTGTACTACTTAATGACTATTTGAGTATCTGGAAAGCTGATGAAGTAGCGTTGTGAAGGATGAAAAGTTGGTGGAAACCCTGTCCTTACCTAACAGAATTATCATGATCCCAGCCAGCTGAGAGCGCCGGTACTTGGCAGCCCCTGGTTCGTGACCCATCCGGATGCAGGGCAGGACAGTCAACAGTAGGAAGATGGCGGGTAGGCCCAGGACCGATGCAGCAATCATGAGGGCTCGGCATGCCTGTACATAACCTGTCGGGAAGAAAGCCAACGAGAAAGAAATTCAGACCAAGGGTTATTGGTGTTTGAGCGAGCCAGGGATCACCAGAGTTCATGGCCCCCTCCTTCCACTCGCTATAGATAGATAAGACCATCTTTCACATTAAATAAGAGATCTATCTCAGGGCTTAGAACATGCTCAATTTTGAAATGGTGCACTACATGTTATCACCTTTCCAAGTAAATAATGGCTAAAATACAAGAAAAAAGTTGGGGATCACTGCTTCTCGTTTGGTTCAAGATGAGGGATGAGGGGGATACTGACCCATGGATACTGATCCTTTCTGAGTTCAGATTTTCCACTACCAGAAAGATTCCCCTAATTAACCCTTCCCCAGTCTGATTATTCCTTTGCTCTTTGTCATTTGGGATTGTAGATTTAGAGCTGGAAGGGACCTCCAAGTTCATCTAGCTCAACCCAGATGAGGAGACTGAAGCACAGAAAGACCAAGTGATTTGCACACATTCAGAGAGGTAATAAGCACCAAAGGTGGGAATCAAACCCAGAGCCTTTGATTCTAGAGCTCACATATACATCCAGCTTGTGTTGCAGCATTTTGCATTTTGTTATGTGACTACCATATTACTTCAGGCATGTATATTTCATCACCCCAAGGAGTCCAAAAGCTAAGACATCTTCTTTTTTGGAGCTCCCCACTGGGCCTTGTGTAATGTTCCACATAGTGACTCAATCAACAAGTAGCTATTAATTTTTAAGTACCTACTATGTGCCAGGAGCCACGCCAGGCATTGAAGACACAAAGATAAAAATTAAACAATTCCTGCCCTCAAGGGGCTTACCTTCTATCAGGGACATTCTATAGGAACCCCCACCCCCACCCCAGCAATAACTCCTCAGTAGAGATATTTGCAGAATGAATGAGGAAAAGGAAGGGACAAGATTCAGCCAATGGTGTCCTTACGGACTAGATCAGACTAAAACACACACTTTGCCCCCACCTTGAAGTTTGGTGCCCCAGGCAATCAGTAAAAAGCAAGTAAGAGGGAAAGCAGCTAAATTGGCTTTGGAATTAAGGTCTTCCGATTTCTTTTTCACCACACAGCACAGCCATCTTTCATTAAAACCCGTGGTCAATGTCTCATGATGGTGTGGAAGTGACCTCACACTCTCAGAAGCTGTACCAGGAAAGGACTCAGCGCAGCCTGCATCTGCTGCCCTCCATGCCCAGCCCAGCTGATTCTGGAAGGCTTATCACAAGAAGAGTGCCCCCCCCCACTGCAGAGTAATATTTTCAACCACAGCAACTCAGATGTGCTAAGGAATAGACAAAATTATGGAAGTGAGTGATGTGGCCACCACCTCTTTCAGGAGTGATGATGAAAACTTCTGAGGGGAGGTTTCTAATGCTTTAGTAAGATCCAAGAGACATCCTTCCTCAGGGTCTATTATTAAAGCAAGGAATTTCCTGGCTTGCCTTTATGAGATGGAAGGTCCTGTGATCTCAGGCAAGCTAGTTCTGGGACTATCAAAACTTCAACCTGACCTTAAACTTGGAGAGGCAGGAGGGAATGGAGGAAAAAGAACTGACCAGAGAGGCCCATTGGAAGCTCAGCTTTGCCCTCACTCTGCAGCTTACTTCTCTGGGCCTCAGTTTCCTCATCTGAAAATTGAAGGGGTTAGACTGGCTGACCTCACAAAGACCTCCCATCTCTAGGTCTTCCAGAAAATCAACCACAGGGCCCTAATGCGCCTCTGCCTCCCTTTCTAATTCACATCCAAAGGTGTGTACTGGAGTTGATTCATACTGGAGAAAGAGGAGGGGAGGGGAAGAAAGAGAAAAAGAGAGAGCTGGTTGTTACATTTTCAGTGAGACCATTTACACCTAGCAAGTCAGCAACTGCTGATAAATTGGGGCTGATTTTTCATTTTGTTGGTTTCTAGACTTTAGAAAATGATGGAGAGTCAGGAGGACCTGAGTTCAAATCCCACCTCAGACACTTGATACTTACTAGCTGTGTGACCCTGGGCAAGTCGCTTAACCCCATTTGCCTCAACAAAAAGTGAAAAAAAAAAGTAATGGAGATGTTAATAACAGATTAAACTTTAAAGTGTGTTTTGTGTACATTTTTTTTCCAGAGGACACCCCTGCATGGGGAGAAACTTAAAGCCTGAGGGAAATTTCCAGTTGTCACGTTTTCCTTCTGACATTCTTTTATGGAATCATGGAATTCAGAGAAGGCTTTATATGTCATTGAGTCTAACCTCCTAATTTTACAGATGAAAAAAGAAACTGAGTCCCAGAAAGAGTAAGCAACTTGTCCAAACATGGACCAGGGCAGAGATTCTAATCATAGGTGCATAGATTTAGAGCTAGAAGAAACCACAGAGGTTAACTAGGCCAACATTCTACAGATGAGAAAACTGAAGTCCAGAAAATTTAAATAGCTTGTTCAAAGTCCAACAGGTAGTCATCAAAAATAGGCTTTGACCCTCAAGTCCTCTGTCTCCAGAATCAGGGCTCTTTTTGACTATACTATCACCTCCCATCCTCCATTATACTATGTTAGTATTGAGCATTTTATAGTTAAGAGGAATGGTGTTTGAACTAAACAGTCAGGGGCTAGCCAGGGGCGGGTTGAAGCCAGCTCCTACCTGCTCTTGGTTGTTAAATTTTTAGTGTGAGCATTTACATCTCAGAAATTGGCAGATACTACAAATAAAGCCTTGATTTATTGTTTTATTGATTGTTTAGACTTAAGAAAGTGTTAGGGGAAATGTTAACAGTGTGTATTAATCTTAAAAGTATGCCATGTGCAAATTGGGGGCTGTTAAACATTTACTAGCACATTCCTGGGTACAGGGAACAAAAAGTTGATGGAGGTGATTAAGATGGAGGAATAGCATTGGAATCTGGTGTTAGGAAGAAAGAGTTCCTGCTCTCTATAAACTGTCAATCGGTCAATAAGCATTTATTAAGTGCTTACTGTGGGTCTGGCACTATGCTAAGCCCTGGGAATACAAAGACAAAAATACAATCCCTGCCCTCAAGAAGCTTACATTCTAATGTGGAAACCATATGTAAATAACTAGGGATAGCCAAGATGCACGCAGTGTAAATTGTAAATGGAAGATAATTTTAGAAGAAAAGAACAAGCAAGGTGGGAGCAAGTCCTCCTGCCCAAGAGGAAGCCAGGAGGTGGAGGTGAGGGGGCAGAGGATTCCAAGACTGGGAGCCAGCCAGTGAAAAGGCACAAAGGCAAAAGATGGGGTTTGTAGTCTGAGGAACAGCAAAAGATACCCAGGGTCACTGGAGCATAGTGTGTGCAAGGAAGTAATTCCAGAATTCTTACTAGAGAGGTAAGAAGGGGCCAGGTTGGGAAGGATTTTAAATGCCAGAGGATTTATATTTGATGCTGGAGGTAATGGAGAACCATGGTTCTCAGAAACACAAATTACCCTGAGCATCCTGGCTCTGCTCCCACTCACATAGGGCTCTTGGCAGCTAAAAAAACATCTTTAAGGGAGAGAAAAGAGGCAGAAGAACCCGCATGAATTAAACAAGAATGAAAGTCTATGAGGTTTAGGGACTCTTCCCTAACACCTCCAATAGACACTAGCACTCAGACACCACCACACCCCATCCCAGCGAAGGAAGGGAATTGAAAAGGGATGATGCTAAGCGCAGAAGGACCAGAAGGGTTTTCTAACTGAAACGAATTCCTACTGTGGAGTTGGGGGGGGGAACTTGGGGGATGAAACATATTCTAGGCAGGGGATGTGACTTGTGGGGTGCCGAAGGCCAGAAAAGCTGTCACCAAGTTTGGGTAAGGGGAATGTTTGCATCACTCCAGAGGATCTCTGTCAGTCCCCAACTCTGCACTGGACAGAGGAATCAGATGAACTCTGCTTGGCCTCAGAGGGCAGAACCAGGAGCAACAAGGGAAGTGGCAAAGAGGTTGATTTAGGCTTGATGTCAAGAAAAAACATCCCAATAATTCAAACTATCCCAAAATGCCTTGGATGGTGTGGGATCCCTCCCCCAATCAACCACTGGTGAACTTCAGACAAGTACTGGATGACCCCTTGTTGGCTATGTTGTGGAGAGGATTCTTGTTCAAGCAGGGATCAGACTAGATGGCCCTGAGATCTTTTCCAACTCTGAGAGTCTAATTCTGGGCCTCAAAGGAAACACTGGCATCATGAAACCCCTGTGGTTTCTGTATGAAGTATTGTGTGCAGATGGGGGGACGGTCTTGGGAGGAGTGGAGAGTAAGGCATGGCTATAACAAAGAAAGTATTTGTTAATGAGCCCCAGAAATAAGGAAAAACACAAGTAACTAGAGGGAGGATTTTTCACTGATACTGGCCTCCCTAAATACAGGAGCTGGTAAGCGATCTTAGGAGCCTGGCACCAAGAGCAGGAAGAGGGACGTTACAGATCCTTAAATCCAACCCTGTCCCTTGACAAATGAGGGATGGATTTTGTCTCTTTCCCTCCAATGACTAGCAGACCAGCGCCAGGCAGGCCGAGCAAGTTGCTGAAAGTAACTTGCCCAGGGTCATGAAGGTAGGAAATCCCAAGCTTGGAGCTGAATCTACTTCCTCCAGTCCCAATCTCCTGCCCTTTCCCCTGGGTGTTAAGGCAGGAGGAGGACTGGTTATCCATTCAGAGGACCTGGTTCAGATCCCCCGCCTATGCCTGCTACTTGTGCCACTTTAGGCGTGTTCCTCCACCTCCCTCAGCCTCTGTTTCCCTTAACAGTAAAATGAGATATATGAACTAGATGGTGTCTGAAGTCTCTTCATACGTAGCCCTGTGATTTCAAAGAGGTCATATGTTTACCACTAGAAGGGACTTTAAAGGTTATCTAGCCCAACCCCCTCATTTTACAGATGAGGAAACTGAGGCCCAGAGAAATGAAGCGAATTGCCCCCGAGTCACACGGGTATTAAAGATTTGGCGGAGCGGGGATTTGAACCCAGGCCTCACTCTAACTCCAGTACTCTGTCCGTTGTATTATGTCCATCCTTCTGAGACTCTCGTTTAAGACTGCAGTCCCTCCGTGCTAGAGATGAGGAGTAAACCCAGGGATGGTTGATGGGACAAATTAGGACCCAGAATGGGCTCCGCCAAAGCAGCCTACGGGAGTGGACAGAGGAGGGACTAGCGGGGAGAAGGAGGCAGCCCCTACCTGGCAGGATGAGGATGTCCACCAGCGGTTTGCAGTGATAGAGCCCCGTAGCCATGACACAATCTGCCCAGAGCCCCTTGGAGCCAAGCTCGTCCATCTTCCGGCAGGTGGTGATGGTGTAGCCGCAGGTCACTACCCAGTCATTGGTGGCCGTGGCGACCAAGATGCCGATCCAGCCCACGAAGCTTGTCACAAATCCAACCAGCTGAAGGCAAGTGGCAACCATGGCCGCGGCCCCCCAGCCCCCCCACCCTCCTCAGCCCTCAAGTAAGCCGGCTGTCCCTGGGGGCTCGGCTGCTGTGCCCAGCCCCGACGGCTGCCTTCTGTGCTCCCCGGCTTTTCTCTCCAGGGACACCCGGCAGGGCGACTTCGGGGCTTCGAGGGGGCTGCCTGGCCCGGCCAGGGGAGGAACAGGGGGCGAGAGCGGCAGTAGTAGCAGCAGAGCGACGGGGCAGCGGCACAGGGTAAGCAACTCTGAGCGGTGCCAGCCTCTCGGGTACCCAGGGCAGACAGGCTGAGGAGCGCGCCCCCGCCCCCCGGGCTTTAAACCGAGGAGCCCCGCCCTCTCCCGGCCAATCGAGAGCGGCCAAGACGCAAGAAAACCAATCAGGAAAGAGGACCAAAGCTGGGGGCGCGGCTTGGAATCCGACAGGAGAAAGTAGGGGTAAACCAGGGGAAGTGGGGAGCACTGGGGAGTGTTGGAACTTAAAGTGCATGGGTTTGTGTGTGTGTGTGTGTGTGTGTGTGTGTGAGAGAGAGAGAGAGAGAGAGAGAGGGAGAGAGAGAGAGAGACAGAGACAGAGACAGACAGAGACAGAGACAGAGAGAGAGAGAGAGAGAGAAGGCGAGACTGCAAGTCTCTGGTATCTGTCAGTCTCTATGTCTCTGTTGCCTCGTTCTCAGTCTGTCTATCTATGCGTCTGCCTGTCTGTCTCTCTAAAAACAAATACCCCTAACAAAGCTGATTCGTTTTCATTCTCTCTGTCTCTGTCTCCTTCTGTCTCTGTCTCTGTCTGTGTGTGTGTCTGTCTGTCTCTGTCTCTGTCTCTTTCTGTCTGTCTGTCTTTCTCTCTCCCTCTCTCTCTCTCCCCCACCCCCACCACAAGGCAGAGTCTGTGTCTTCCATATCTTTGTAACCTCTCCACTGCTTCAGTGCCTTACACAATAGTGCAAATTCAATACATGTTTATTGGAAAATGAAGAAATGAATGCATTACAGAAAAGAGATCTAAGCAGTGGGGTCTATGTTCCTATACTTGCATGGTCTTTTTTCTTTCTAATTTATGAGCCCATCAGAATAATTTATAGGAAGAAGAAAACAAGCAATAAAGCAGGTAAATGCTATTAATTTATCATTAGCTGTTACACATATTGATACATTTCTCCAGTACCTTGAGATGTACAACTGAACCAAAAGAACAGAAATGACTTGACCAAGGTCAGGCAGGTAGGAAGTAAAAGAGCCAGGCCTGAGAACCTGCATCTCCTGGTTCTCAGGTGAGTGCCGTTTTCTTTTCTCCCAACCACCCTATAAGGTAAATTGGCTGTTATTATCCCCATTTTACAGATTAGGAAACTGAGGCCCAGAGAGGGGAAGGTCATACAGGAAGTAGCAAACCTGAGCTTGGAACTCTGGTTGTAGGACCATGGAGTTAGAGCTGAGCTGGGCATTAGCAGTCCTAGCTAATCTGAGCCCCTTCTTTTCCACGGAAGGAAAATGAGATATTTGAGAAGTTCAATGATTTGACCAAGGTCACAGGGGGAGGAACAGAGAAAGCCAGGATTAGAATGTGGATATTCTGACTCCCAGGCCAGTGGTCATTTCCACTGCAGTAGAAAGTTGCGGATTTATTCTTTTAAAGCCCTTGCTTTCTTTCCAGCAATGGCATTTCCCTCTGGACTTTCTTCATCCACTCCTGTAATTGACACCCTTTTCATCACTTAGTGAAATCTGCCTTGTGCTGTTTCTACATTGGAAAGTCTTAGCTCCCTTTTGTGCAGTTGGATAAGATGATGATTTGTGGCATATTCCTAGTTTATAACTTCATTTCTGACCAAACCTGAATATTGCTACCAGGAGAGAAACATTGGAAAGAACTATGATAAAAAGTAATAAACACTTTTTCTAAGGAAATGAGTTTTTAAATTCTGTACTATATGATTTTTCCCGTCTAGATTGTGAATAACATAGAAGGAGGGCAAGTTCAGTTTTCTAGGTACAAAAGGCATGGAAACAACTATAAAACTTCCCCACAACCTTGAAGAAATCAAGATGAAAGGAGGAAGGGCATCTCTGAAGAAGATGTATCTCTTCCCTTCTTCTAGAGAAGATGTAACTTTGTACAATTTTCTTCAGAGATTTTGGCTTTTCTTCTACCAGCTGTCTTGGCATCTTTACTACAAAGGCAGTGTGCTGGAGTGGGAAGAGCAGTGGATTTAGAGTCAGAGGGCCTGGGTTTAAGCCCCAGCTCTGCTGTTTACTGTCCATGGGACCTTGGTTGAATCATATAACCTATCTGGGTCTCAGTTTCCTCATATGTAACATGAAGAGGTTGGACCAGATGATCTCCAATTTCCTTCTAGCTCTTAGCCTATGATCCTTTATGAATCCTATCTGGATGACTTAAGGAATGAAAGTACTCAAATGGGTGTCAATAAAGAAAATTTTAATGCAGGATTCTCTTTTGCATCTTAAGCATGTGTAAAAATCACTTATAGGCTAGGATATTTGGCAGGGAGGCTAAGAGAGTTAGTCAATATTTATTGAATATCTACCAGGTACTGAGCAAAATTAGTTAAAAACTTAGTTTCCACTCAATTCCAGCATGATGTCATGGAAAATGTAGTGATTTAGTCAGAAGTCTTGGGTTCAAACCCCACTGCTCTTTACTACTTAAGTGGCCTTGAGCAAATCTCTTCCCTTCTCTAGGACTCAGTTTCCTTGTCTCTAGAATGGGAGAGTCAGACTAAATAATTTCTAAGATAGTTATGATTCTAAGACTCAAGTTCGAATACTTGTTCCACCATATTACTTGTCCTTTCACCTCTCTGTGCCTCAGTTTCCCTATTTATAAAAATGAAAGGATTGGACCTAATGGCCTCTAAGATCACCTTCAGGGTTTAGTCTATAGCCCCCATGACCCCATGACCTTAATTGAAATACCCACCCTTCCACTTACAACTTGTATGATCTTGAGTAAATCACTTCCCTTCTTTGTGCCTTATTTTCCCTATTTATAAAATGAAGGGTTTGAACCTGATGGCCTCCAAGATTATCTCCAACTCTACATCTATAGCTCCCGTGACTCTGTGAGCTGTGTTTAAGCCCCTCCCCTGCCACTTATTATCCGTACAACCTTCCCTGAGCCTCAATTTCATTACATAAAACCAGGAGCTTCCTTCCATGAGCTCCGAGGGTTTTTTTCCCAGCTTCTGAATCTATAATTACATGAATAGAACATTCAAACTCTTCTTGTGCTGTTGAAACCCAAATGGGACTAAGGAGTCCGAGTTAACGACTGGTTTATGGAAATTATGAGGCATAAAGTCCAATCCCAGGACTAATAAAGCCCGGCGTGGTGATTAGCAGCCCCAGAGCCCACATCTTTAAGGGATTCTTGTGAAAATGGACATGGGGCTTTAGAGACAGCTAGTGGATTTTTTCAATCATTGCAGCACTAGAAAAAAAAAAAAGGAAAATGATTTCTTCTCTGTTCTGTGTAAATCCTGCAGGATCTATCTATCCACAAACCTCATTCTTACTAGCTTCACTGATTCAAGATGTGGAATAATTGGCCAGGGCTAGACTCCCTTTATTCTTCAAATCTTTTCTTCTTTAAGTAAATTAAACATATGGAAACCTAGGTTTGTTTTTTTTGTTCAGTTTGTCCAACTCTTTGTGACCCCTTCTGGGGGGTTTTCTTGGCCATTTCTTTCTCCAGCTCATTTTACAGATAAGGAAACTGAGGCAAACAAGTGACTTGCCCAGGGTTATACAGCTAATAAGTATCTGAGGCCAGATTTGAACTCAGGTCTACCTGAAGCTCTACCCACCACACTACCTAGCTGCTCCAAACCTGGGTTTACAAAAAGATAAATTAGAAGTGTTGATTTACTTTACAAAGGATTGTTTAAATAGCCACTTCATTTTACCAATGAGGAAACTGAGGCCGAGGGAAGCTAAGTGACTTGCCAAAAGTCAGAGACAGTGAGCATCAGAGGGCAGATTCGAACCCATGTCTTCTAACTCCAAAGCCTCATCATAGTTATCCATCAACCAATTACTCAATCAACAAGCTGTTATCTTGGACAAATTACTCAACCTCTAAGTTTCAATATCCTCACCTGTAAAGCAGGAATAATGCTGCTTCTACCTGCTTCATATGGTCAGAGGACAGTGATTTTATTATAGTTCTTTACAAACATGAGCAACCATTAGAAGATGAGAGAAAATGTTGAAAAATTAGTAAGCCCCACAAGCATCTCCCTTAGAAGTTCGCCTTTAATTAGTCTACAGAAAATTAATTCATGACATACAAATCTATTGCATTTACCTTTCCAGGCTTATTTCACATTAACACTTTGCAAGGAGTTTCCATTCTAGTCAAATTGACTTACTAATTGTTTCCCACCTCTAAGGGTGTGCTGGAGTCAGTTTGTAAGTGCTTTTGATCTGATTGTTAAATTTTCAGTATGAACACTTACACATTGAAAATCAGCAAACTCTGGAGCAGCTAGGTGGCACAGTGGATAGAGCACTGGCCTTGAAGTCAGGAAGACCTGAGTTCAAATCTAGCCTCAGACCAAACACTTGACACTTACTAGCTGTGTGACCCTGGGCAAGTCACCTAACCCCAATTGCCTAAAAAAAAAAAAGAAAATCAGCAAATTCTATAAATTAGGCCTTGATTTATTGTTTTGTTGATTGTCTAGACTTAAGAAGTGTTGGAGAAAATCTTAATAAAGCAGATTAAACTTTGTGTGTCATAGATACTTTTTTTTTTTCCAGAGAGACGATTATTAAATAGATACCAGCACATTCGCCTGGCCATATCCCACCTACAAACATTTGCACAGGTGATACCCCCACCTGGAATGCATTCTTGTTTGTTCTTTGTTCCTTCTAAATCATTCTTTATAATTATAAATTTTAATTACCTTCAGTTTTGTGCTTTACAGACACATGCACACACACAATTGTCATCGATATGTATGCTGTTCTGACTTCACTCTGCATTGCTTCATGTAATTCCATACATCCCTAGAGGTTTCATCTTGATCATTTTAATAGGACCATGATTTTCCATTAATACGCCAAAATTTTATTCAGTCATTCATGGACTATTGACCATATGCATTATTACAAGGCTTTTATTATTTAAAAAAATAAACTATTAATATTTTCACATGGCTAGTTTCTTTTTTCCTTTTCATAGTACAGTATTTCAAGTCCCAACAATGGAACCAGAAGGTCATAAGTCAGAAGGCATGCTCAGGTTT